ATGGTCCCCCCTCTTTGCTACGGTCCAAAAACAGGCTGGACGGATAAGGTTGGTCTGGGATCGATCATGAAGCTCGATCTGGCAATCGATCACATCCTGAATCGAGTGGCTCTTGGTCGATCCTCGAGTCGATCTTGTGCTGATCGGGTTGGAAGCTCGATCCGGTCCTCGATCTGCATGGCGTCGTCTACGTTCGTACTCCAGATCGATCTCAATGCTCGATCTTCTGGTCGATCCCATCTAGATCGATCTGCCTTGCTCGATCTGCTGCTCGATCTCAGGTCCTTAGCGTGCAATCCTGATTTCTCCAAGTGTCCATAGGCTTCTCCACGAACCTCAGCACGTCCACGAATCTTCCATAGCTCCAAAGTAACCGAAAGCAACCTGATTGTGATGCAAAATGCACGAAACATGTGAATGCTGGTGCAAAGATTGCTTATGTAGATTATCGGTTTCTGCTAGCCACGGTCTTCCCTGACAAGGACGCCGCTCACTGCTGCTGTTGAGACTGCGATGTAAAGGTACAGAGTCTCGCCATCCTCTGGTTTAGCTAATATTGGTGGGGTGGTTAGGTACTCCTTCAGCTGTGTGAATGCCTCTTCGCATTTGTCATCCCAGTCAAAGCGTTTATTACTTCGAAGTAACTGATAAAAAAGGAGACATTTATCGGTTGAGCGCGAGATAAATCTGTTTAGAGCGGCGATTCTTCCTGTTAGTCGTTGTACTTCGCGCATATATTTGGGTGATGAGAGATCCAGAATTGCAGAAATTTGTTTTGGGTTTGCTTCTATTCCCATTTGGGTGACAACATAGCTTAGGAATTCTCCTGAGGTTACGCCGAATGTGCATTTAGCCGGATTCAATTTCATTCCGTATCTGTCGAGGGTTTTGAAGCAGTCCCTGAGGTGGCCGACGTGATCTTTGGCGATTGTGGATTTGACTAGCATATAGTCTATGTAAACCTCCATGGTACGACCGAGCTGACTTGCAAACATCTTGTTGACCAACCGTTGGTATGTGGCACCTGCGTTTTTTAGTCCAAAAGGCATGACTTTATAGCAATGTGTTCCACGACCGGTGATGAATGCCATCTTTTCTCTGTCGTCGGGATGCATAAAGATCTGATTGTACCCGGAGAAGGCATCCATAAAGGACAGGAGCTGGTTTTTGGCTGTTAATTCGACCAGTCGGTCGATGTGAGGAAGTGGGAAGCAGTCCTTTGGGCAAGCTTTTGTTGAGATCGGTGAAGTCGACGCAGACCCTCTATTTACCGTTCTTCTTTTTGACCACGATGGGGTTAGCTAACCAGTCAAGGTATTAAACCTCGGTAATCGATCCAGCACCGAGCAGTTTTTTCACTTCGTCGATTACGGCTTGTGCCTTCTTGGGACCGAGTTTCCTGCGGTTTTGTTTGATTGGTTTAAACGTATGATCTACGTTTAGTTTATGCGACGTGATTCTGGTGTCGATTCCCTTCATGTCCTCCATGGATCAGGCAAACAAGTGCACGTGGTCGCGTAAAAGTTTGACGAGCTCCGCTTTTATATCTTCTGCGAGGTTGCCGCCAATGCTTGCAGTTCTTTCCGGGTGTTGCTCGTCAATGCTTACCTGTATAACTCGCTCGGGCTTCGATCTTTTGTGGAAGGGAAGACGCGGGTCTAAGTCTTCGTTCACCATGCAAGTAGTTGCCGTTCTGATTTTTCTTTGACTGAGAAGGCACATTCGTGCTGTTGATTGCTCACCCTGCAGTGTGAACATACCGGTAGGAGAATTGGAAGCATTGATGGTACGTCAAGATGACGGCCTTCATGGTGTGGATCCACAGAGTTCCGAGGATGACGTTGTAGATGGTCGGGCAGTTGATGACTGCAAATTCTGCCTTCTTGGCGATGCCGCCGACGTAAGTGATTAGATGTATCGAACCGATGCTGTAGGAGGTGTCGCCTGTGAATCCCGTCAGTGGTTTTTTTGTCGTTGTTATCTCGTTTTCATTAATGTTCATCCTTGACAGCGTGTCCTTGAAGATGATATTGATGGTGCTCCCGCTATCGACCAAAGCTTTGGTGACTGTGCTTTCATGAATCTGTAAAGTTATGACCAGTGGATCGATGTGTGGTGTGTGCGAACTGTGCAGATCCTCTGCCGTGAAACCTATTGGTGCTTCGTGCCTCGGGGCGAGCGAGTTGCGTTTTGCTGCCGCTGCTTTTTCTTCGTGTTGTTTTATTTCCTCGAGCGAACTGGGGTCTTTGAATACTCCACCCAAGATCATGCAGATATCGTTGAGTGTCACGTGACCGTGTTCTCCCGTGGGTGGTAGGATCGCGGTGATAGGGTTGATGTGCTCGGACGTCTCAGTATGCGTGGTGGTATCGTCGTTGTTGCGGATGAGATCGCTGTTGTCGATCGGGAGATTCATCGCTTTGGATTTTTTTTTTTTTGCTAGTTTTCTAAGAATTTATTCTCCTAGTGCGCACAGACGGCGCCAACTGTTGAACCAGAAAATCACCACTAGGGATTTGATTAACAGTTGTGGGTTTCGGAGAATAAGGTCTTTTATTAATAGCAATAAAGCAAAGCGATTACAAAGAGTGGTATAACCGTGAGGTTACGCCGAAGTGAAAAAGGTGTTTGCAAAGTAAACTAGAAAGCGTTGGAGTCTCTGGTTTTAGCTCTGCTGCTCTCTAGAATGTATGAGTTGTCCTTCTTAGCTTCATGGTCGCTTTATTTATAGGGATAGGAGGTCGGTTGCTCCGAACTCTTTTTCCTTTTTGCCTTTGGTGAATATTTCCATATTTCCATATCGCCAATATGGAAATATCCCTTATTCTCTGAACAATATGGAAATTCTCCCTTATCTCTTGAGTTGATCCGATGTTTCCGGCCTTTGAAGGTTATCCTACAGGGATTTCCTTTAATCCGAGCTAGGTCAGCGCGGTCTTTCTGGTCTTGACGGGCTTAGGCTACTGCTAGATAAAGCCTTTTAAGAAATGTGCTCATTTCCCCTCTAACAATCATAGCCTCAAGAAACCTAAGCCTGCAGCGAGTGAGTGAGTGGATCGCTTACCTCGCGAGATTCTTCTGTGAGAAATATTATGTTCTTCACAACGTCGGAAAGATTTAAGAGGAGGTGCTTGAGGTTTTACGGCTATGGATTGAGCTTGGGAGGGTTACGACCATGGATTGAGCTTGGAAGGGTTACAACCATGGATGAGCTTGGAAGGGTTACAGCCATGGATTGAGCTTTGTTTATCCGGTGATGGTCCAGCCAGAACTTACAGGTAAATTTGATATTTTTTGTTGTTTTAGCAATTAAATATTTTTACATTATGGAATTGCAATTTGAAATTAATATTGGTTTCTGATGTAAGGTTTTGACGTGTAATCAATTCCCACATACACTCATGTCATTGTAATATGTGAAGTATCAATCCAAATGGGCAACTAAGTCACTATGAATACAACAGTTCACTTAAGTCAAGTCAAATCAAGATAACAGGTGTGATCAAACTCTTTCAATCAAAACTAAACAATGCAAATTCAAAGTATGAAACTTAATAGATAAAAGGAAGGACCTAAGATAGGGTTATTGAACTAGAGGGGATTAGAACAGATTAGTAATGCTTCACAAATCATCAAACAATGCTATCTCCTAGACATAGAATTAACAGCTATAACTAGTCCAATTTCTTGGATACTAATCACTTTGCTAAGCACTTACTCAAGAACTAACTTTTATTAGTGAACAAATGATTAGCAAGCATTCAAACAGAAATCCAATTCTATAATGCCAAAATGTTTCGTAGACATATAATCTCTTAGACTAAGATGAACAAATCTTCTAAAAGACTAAGCAGCATTTCATCAAATACTTACTAGGCATAAGGAAAAGCAATGCTACTAAACAAACTTGGCCAAAGCTAATATAGTGTTAAGCCCATATAATAGAGAGGAGACAATCATATTAAGCACAAAACATCACTAATATAATCCTAAAACCCCTCTAATCTATCCCATCTTAAACCCTAAAGAAGACTACTCACTAGCCATAGCCAAAACCACAAATTCCAAAGAGAAATAATGGCTAAGCATGCTTAGAAAGCAGAATAGAGAAGAATAGATTAAGAGAAACACACAAATTCACTAAATCAAACAAGATTCTTAGAAAGATAACCCAAAAGAGAAAGGTTTCTAAGCTTAGAACAATAAAATTCAGATTGCCTAAACATTTTAGGACTTAAAGTATTTATAGTGAGGCTTAGAAACCGCTAGTAAACCAAGAGAAAACCAATTTATAACTGGTTCAGATGGTCCATGTTGGCTGTTGAAGTCGATACACATATCGATACTGGCCCTTCTTGCAAGTGTATCAGCTGGTTTTCATCGATATGCCGAACTTCAAGGGATGTATCGGCTTGACCCTTCTCTGTATGGACGTGGATACAATCGCCTCCAGTTAAGGCAGATCGGGCTTTCTCAAGTCGATATGCTGCTCAGTATTGTCCTGTCTTCAAGTGTATCAGATTGGGAGCTCAATACACTGCCTGGTACAAGCTTCCCTTGATGTATCGAGGTCCCTTCCAGTCGATATTCTCCTCTGTACGCCTCGTCTCATCTGTATCGTCAGCAAGTGATCGATACACAGTCCAGTACACGTCATATCGTCCAGGCTACATCAATATCCAGCTCAATATTGGTCCATCCGCCCTTTGTTCTTCTCCTTGCTCCACTCCTAGCTCACACCTATTGCACCACTTGGTCTCCAAACATCTCTTCATACCTGATAAAACTCCAAATGCAAACAAAATGCAATGCAACATCTAAAACTACTCAAACTCCTAAATGTATGCAAATGGGACAAGAACAAGTAAAATATGCATGGTTAAAGACCAAAAACTAGTGATAAATGCATGCTAATGTGGTATAAATAACGGAGATATAAGTTTCCTTTTCCAATTTCAAAAGAGAAAAAAAAAACTATTCCTATAAATCTATTGCATTTAATGAATTTCGTATTTTCTGTACATTCCTGCAAGGAATTAATTGGATTAAACAGTCATGAACTTACAGAATTCCTGCCATCATTCTTTCTGCAATTATAGAGAGAAAATAGTCAAGCATAGCCGAAATCAAATTAAAGCAAGAAGAAACAATAGGTATTCTTGTAATTGCGTCTTTAATGATCTTGAATCGTTTCAGAGAGAGATGTGTTGTCTTGTATGAGTCATGGTTATTGCATTACAGAGGGGTCTGGATGAATCATGAACAGAGCTTCTGGTGAAGAGATTGTCACTAAGCTTGACCAAATCACCTTATTCCTGGTAATATTTGCTGGCTTAATCTTCTTTAATGTCCATCTTTGGATTTTACAGTCCTTGATCATAGATGTGAATGGTGTTTTTGAAATCTGTTGATTTGATGTTTACTCTGATAATTAAGGATCTACTAATAATCGCTTGAACCAGCTTTTAGAGCTCTTACTATTTCCCATGAAAGACCTTTCCATGACTCATAACCCTTTCTTTCTCCATATTTCCACGCTAACGCCATCGCCGTAATCCTTAAGAACAGTGAACAACTATTGAGCATCATTAATACAAATATCACAAAACTTAGGAAGAAGTTATAGTTTCCTGCTTCAACGACAGTTAGTCAATCTCTCCATTTGGCTCTAAAATACATTTACTCAATCAAGTAATCACAAAAATGTTTTCTTGATGCAAAGTCTCAACTTTTGAGATTGGTCACAAAACACTTGAAGATGGAGCTTTACACTATTATTTGATTTAAGCACAAGAATTTAAAACTTTAAAATCGCACAACACCAGATACTCTTGTGTCACAATTGATCAAATGTTCAGTATGGAGTTTCAATCAATTAGAGTAAGGAAGAATGAGATTAACCATTCGACAAAAGATATACAATATTGTTTTAGTACTTTAAAGCAAATTACAATTTTTTAAATTAAATAATAAATGATTTACAATGTTTTTTCAGATTCAAAACATGTAAATATATATATTTTTTAAATAACTATAATATTTGTTTACACCATAAAAACAAGGACAATTCTCATATTTACTATAAAAATAAGTTTTCAGAACAAAAATAACAATGAAGCTAAAAGTTTTTCATTTTTTAACATTTTTCTTTGTATTTTTCTAATTTTGTCTTTTAGTAAGGTCTTTTTGAATGTTTTTTTTTCTGTTAATATTTCGTGAATTTTTAGGAAGGTCTTGCAAACACTAAAATTCCACATCGTTTCATATGATTTAGGAAAACTTTTCTAAGTTATTAAAAATTTCTTGAATTGTGGAAGAGCTTCCTGAATTGGGGAAATGCTTCCTAGATTGAGAAAATGCTTCCTTAGTTTGAGTTGATGTATAAATTAACCAAAAAAAACAATTATGTGGATTTATGAAAGTTTTCCTAAATACATATAATGGCTTTCTCAATTTATACGTACTACGAAAGCCTTTTTAAAGGTTTAGAAATATCTTCATAAGTTTACCCTTATCTCCTTCGTTACATCTGCGACATCCAAACCCTAATTTCCGCCGATTTCTTCTTTTTTCACCATTGTTATTGTTTTAGTTTAGATTTCTTGAGATTTTCACCCAATTATGTTAGATGTATCTCCCACTATATGATTTTGAACAGGAAATCTCGTGGAATGCATAACAATTCGGGTCACTTCTACGCTTAATGGATCTGGTTCAACATCATGGGTGTAAATCTAGATAAATCTCTGTTGTTTCTCCGACTTGATGACAAGATTTCATTGCGGAATCGATGCTATTCAGAGATCCGATCTCACATAGTCCAGCGATTATGGTGAAGTAGGAAAAAAATTGTCGATGATTTTTTTATTTATATAAAGGCAAACAGGTCAAAGTAGTAATAAAATATGTCAGGGAAGTATTGTTTTAGTGTGTTAGTATATATTAGGAATAACAACTTGTTTCTATGGCATTTGAAGAACTTTCTCTATAAACAATTTTATCATATTAAAAATATACAAATTTCAAAACAATATCGCAGCATAGCAAGGAGAATTTACCTAGTAACCATAATACGTTAACATACTTAGTTTGAAGTTTGAACTAGACCTCTTAATTCCACATAACGCAACAGCATCAGCACTCTCGGATTGCTTGAGATGTGATCAATGATCTAATCATCAAAATTGAGGAGCAGCCGCTTGATGTTGTTAAGCAGATCTCGAAACAGAGGACAGTGGTGTGGTTGGAGGATTGCATCCTTAACTCGCACATATGTAGATTTAAATATGATATTTATTCCTCTGATACATATTATAAATACACTCCACTGTCCAGAATGGGCTAAGAAGATTGGATTCAGAGTTCATGTGCACCATGGAATATGATTTTCTACTGTGATGTGGAAGAGAACCGTTGTAGTCCCGTAATAACAATGAAAACACAATTTTGATGGGGAAAATCACAAAGAGATAACGTTGCAACTGAATGTATTATAAAAAAGTTAAGGAAATTTTGTTTTGGTTCTATTATTTTAAGGGATAATTTTTGAAATAATCAACTTGAGAATTTTATTATGAAACATGATCTTTCCTAAAATGACCCATAAGAGATATCCATTAGTTTGCATTCAATCCGTTGTTAGTCTGTCAGTAATTTGCAATTAGTCTAGCATTAATCTGCAAGTAGTCTACATTCAATTATGTGACCAAACAGTCTGCCAGTAGTCTACCAGTAATCTGCATTCAGTCTGCCATTAGTCTACAAATAACAGTAGTTAGAAGGGTAGCGCTGGTATTTATAAAAATATGTAATTAGTCTAGCATTAGTCTGCTAGTAGTCTACATTCAATTATTTGACCAAACAGTCTGCCAGTAGTCTACCAGTAGTCTGCATTCAGTCTGTCATTAGTCTACAAATAACAGTAGTTAGAAGGGTAGCGCTGGTATTTATAAAAATCGTAAAAATGGGTCATTTTCACAATTTTCGTTCAATAGAGTACCCATTTCACATTATTTTATCATTCTGGGTCATTTTGAACCATTTCCTCTTATTTTAAATGTTCTCAAAATATCTATGCAACTCTCGGTGTTATTTCCCGTTTCACAACAAAAAAACTCTTAATGTTATTTGATATTTTTAAGTTCTATAATTATTTTGTAATGCGTAAGAACTTGCCTCAGTAGAGCGTGAGAACTTGCCTTAGTAGTATTGCTGGAGAGAAAAGACTAAGGCTTAACTAATGCAGGGAAAAATATGCTACGGCTAGAGCTGCGTCTTCTGCCAGAACCATCATGATATGTTATTTATATTGTTAAGATTCTTAACCTTTTCCGTCTTTGTAGCTTCTAAATACTCTGTTTTGATTTTTCTTTCTTTTATGGCTTCCAAACACTCTCTTCATGGGCTACTTCCAGTGTTGAAGAAGTTGCTTCCACATGGCCAAGGATCCAAATCTTTCAGCTATATGTCGCTTGTCTTAGTATTATTGTCGCTTGTTATACATCGTGATAAAAACCTGGTCACATGTTTGAGCCGTTATGATCGCTGTGAGTAGGTATACAAGAACAGGAAAGTTATTGAGTAGCTTGTGAGAAGAGCCGAGAAGGCTGGGTTCAAAGCTATTGTTCTCACTGTAGACACCCCAAGGCTAGGTCGCAGAGAGTCTGAACTCAAGAACAGGTAAAGCCACGTCAACTGAAATGTGATCAGAGTTTATCGGATTCATACAGCAAACAGATAGCTAGAAATTATAGATTAACGATGTGTGCTCTTTTACTACAGGTCCACTTTGCCTCCAAATCTGACATTGAAGAACTTTGAAGGTATTGGCCTTCGAAAGATGAACAAGGTAGGTATCCATCCAGTAGTATAGTATGAATAGTGGTAATGATCCACTCATAAGAAAAGTCTTGAAGCAGACTTGTTATGTTTACATTTCTTAACTGTTCCTGATCCTGTTATGTTTCCACCTACAGGCCAATGACTCTGGCTTGGCTTCCTATGTTGCTGGTCAAATTGACCATACCTTGAGCTGGAAGGTAAAAGAATACAACAAATTGTAAGATAGCACAGCAAAACTGAGTAGTTGGAAACAGAAACTTGATTGAGATTTCTCTAACTTTCATCTGCACAAATAGAGTGTCCAGTATAAAGTTTATGAGAATGATGATTGTATTGCTTAGAGAAGTATTACATATATACACGATGAGTAGTGTAATAACGGAAGGCATATATAATACAATGAAGGCTGATTGAATCACTAATGCAATCATATATCAGAGTTGCCATATGTGTGGATCCTAATATGCCCCCTCAAGATGGAGGTGCTTGCGAACCTCCAATCTTGTCTCTAAGAAGGAATGAACGAAGCTCTGCTTAGTGGTTTCCTAAGTGTGTCGGCCAGTTGATCATTAGTCGAGACCTGTGTAACCTGCAGCTGGCCAGCTTGAACTTGTTCACGAATAAAGTGATATGCCAAAGCGACATGTTTCATTCGGGAATGGAAAACTGGATTTGCTGACAGATATGTAGCTTCGATATTATCGCAGTAAATGACAGGAGGTGTGAGGACTGTAATGCCAAGCTCAGTAAGAAGAGAATGTACCCAGTTGAGCTAGGGTGCTGTGTTTGATACGGCTTCGTACTCGGCTACTGTAGAGGAGCGAGCAATGCCTTTTTGTTTCTTTGAGCTCAAAGAGATTGCTTGATCACAGAGGTACACAATGAAAGCATTGGTGAATGTGAAGTCATCTTTGTCGCCGGCCCAGTCTGCATCCGAGAAGGCGTGTAACGTGAGGTTCTTGTCTCGAGTGATGAAGAGTCCATGTGTAGCTGTGCCAAGTAAGTAACGAAGAACCCTTTTTGCTGCTTGCCAGTGATCAGTCATCGGATTGTGCATATATAGTGAGAGCTTGTTAATGGCAAACGCGATATCTTGTCTTGTGAAAGCCAAGTACTGAAGGCTGCCAACAAGTGTTCTATACTCGGTTGGATTTGAGTGAGCTTCGCCGGTGAGAACCAGTTTTGGTTATGTTGCCATAGGAGTCGTAACTGGCTTTGCTTCTGATGTAGGTTTTTATCCTATCTCAATCCCCAACCCACATTAGTCATTGTAGCATAGGGTTTAGTCAATCCATAAGGGGAAGTTTGAAGCAGCAGGAATGCATTAGAGCTTTTAATTAAAGCAGATATAGATAAGATTAAAGTCTAACAACCTAAATGATCAAACAAACTTAAAGCAAACACCAAACCAAGAGTGAACAGCAAGCAAAACAACTAAACCATAAGCAAAAACAGAGAAAATTCGAAATTAACCTAAAAACAGAGGAAAGACAGGACTTGAGATGGGATAATTGGTGTTAGGGAACTATCAACTCAACCTATGATGCTTACAAACTCACACAATGTTATTTCTTATGCATATAACTCATTTATATGACTAATCCAATCTCGTGGCACTAATCTCTTTGCTAATCATCAAGTCAAGAACTAATTTTTATTAATGAAATGATAAACAGCAATCATTAAGACAATCTACCAATCCAATATTGGCAAATCATTCCTTAGACAGTCAATCTCTTAAGCTAGGACAAGCAATTCTCTTGCAAAGCAGTTCAAGCATTTCATAAAATGAGCCTAAGATCCTAATCAGCTTAGCTAAAACTAATCAAGCATTAAACATAGCAATCAAGAAAAGAAATGGAAGAATTAACACTAAGCAACCATAGATCAAGCATCAAATTCCCTAAACCTGACCCATCTCAAATCCCTAAAAGTACTACTCACTAATCACCATTGAAACCATCAAATCAAAGAGAAATAGATAGATAATCATGATTAGAGAGGCTAAAAAAGAAGATAAATGCAAACTTATATTAAAATGGAACAAAGATTCAAACTACAAAATAAAAACAAGAACAAAAGAGGAAAGAACTGCTGGATAATAGGATGATCCAAAAAATTAGGGATTTTAAGTATTTATAGGAATCAAAAGGAGTGGCAAAATTATAAATAAATTGTCTTCAGACTGGGTAAACATCGATCAAACTTAGTCGATGCTGGTGATCGATGTGTTGATATCGATCTGGTCTGCTCGATGTAACTGATCGATGTAGGTCTTCTGGCGCTTGACATCGAGCAGGCTTTGATCGATGTGCTTGATCAAAGTGAACTTCAAGGCTCTCGGGTCCATTACATCGCATGATGCTGACTATCGATGTGGATGTCCAGTGGCTTGACATCGATTACATGTGATCGATATGAGTGATCGATGTAAACCCTGTTTCTCTCTGCTTCATCACATCGTACGATGTGGGCTTCTCTGTGATCGATGCTAGGCCAAACTTCTGTTTTCTTGGTTCTTCTTGCTTCTCTTTGATTAGGGGAACTCCCTGGATCATTCCTACACTTCATCCTTGTCTTAAATGGCTCTTTAGGTACCTAGAAACATCCCTTATGCAAGGAAAACATTCAAAAGAAGACTAATATATGAACTAAATGCAAGCTTAAATGGTGTAAATATAGGAGATATCAACACCCCCACACTTGCCTTTTGCTTGTCCTCAAGCAAATAAGAATAAATGGGAGAGTGAGGTTTGAAAGTGGGAGCTCAAAACTAATGATGTCTATGGAAAAACTGATTCAATGCCCAAGTTATAGGTTCTAAGATGCAAAGAGATTATTCTACTTCAAAAGCTTAAGCCAAACCCATCATAGCAGACAATGCACCCTAGCTTAGCTTACACAAGCATTCAAATCAACCAACTCGTTAACATTCATTAATGGTAACCAGTGGATCAAGTCTATGCAAATCAAGTGAATACATTTGGTTAAAGAGATATGGTCATGAGATTAAAATGATCTCATTCAGATAAAGGTTCAAAGACATAAGGGATCACTCAATGAAATGATTTTATCTTCAGCAAAATGCTAAAGGTAATAGCACACCTATGCATGCAAGTAAAAGTTCTCTTTTACCCTTTTTACCCCAAGATGAACCTATTGTATTCTAAACCAAAAGTGACTCCTAAATCTGCCTTTTCCCCAAAGCACTTGATCTCTTCTTCCTTCATGTTTGGGGGGGGGGGGGGGGGGGGGGGGGGGGGGGGGGGGGGGGGGGGGGGGGGGGGGGGGACTCCTACTTCTTTTTGCTTGTGTGGCTGATTCTTTGTTGGAACTTGCTCTTCATTGTTGTATAAGTAGCGCAATTTTTCTTCACTTTGGTAGATTGCTTGGTCCGATTTCTCCTTTTGGGATGACCTTTGTAAGATTTGTTGTTGTTGGCCCCCATACTACCATCCCCATACTTCTACTTCTTCTTTAAAGGATATAAACAATAAAACTCAAACCACTTATACTAGGGAAAAGCCATCTTTTTTTCAACAATGTCTTTGTCATTCGATCCAATAGCGTTCCGTTAGAAAGGAACAGATTTACCCTTTCCCAAACTCCTAACCTAATACTAAGCTCAAGATGCAAGCTGGTGTCTACAGGAGAGCTTCTCCTTGCCGGCCTTATTCCTAACACTTTTTGCCAAGATATAATCGAAAATAATGCAATGCAAGACCTCACAACTCTCACAATAGTGTTTAAGTTCAGAAAAAAAGATTTAGTTAGGGTGTGGTTAACTGTCCCATAATGATGAGGATCAGCTACTTGGGTTAACAAGAGTGGTAAGAAAGGAAGAAGATAACCCAAGTATGTATATGGATAGCCATGTGATCACTCTCAATGCATAAACATGATAATTAAATATCAAGATCATGGTTCTAATAGACAAAGTTGACATCAAATCAAAGCAAGCTTCAGCATAAGACAAGAATATCAATGCAAGTATTCAAGATATGGTGCATCCTTAACATCAAACTCACTAAAATGCAATCAAACAACAGATAACCAAATCATTGAAAACAACTCAAACATTAACATCTTGACAAGTGTTTATCATCTACTCCCTATGCAAATGTATGCAAACTCATATGAAATGTGTCTAGACTCAATCTTAGTTATGCAAATGAAACTAAATGATCTTTTTGTTTCCAAAAAATTGAAATTTTTATGGATTTTCAGTGCATATAGATGAATGCATGAATGCATGAGACTCAAGTGTGAAAAAAGAAAAATAAGAAAATAAAACACAATGTCAAATGCAATGCCCTCCCCCACACTTAGATTAAACAGTCTTCTGTGTGATAAAAGCTTGAAGGAGGGTGATAAGGGATACTCAGAATCAATACAAAAGAATTCTGATACAAGAGTTTTGACTCTCTTGGTCAATCACCCTGCTTGTACTAATCAATTGTAGTATATCATAGGTTTTATCAATCCAAAAAGGGGAAGGTTGAAGCAGTAAGAATGCAATAGAGCTCCTAATTTAATCAAAAACAGAGAGTTTAGTTATCTAGCAACTTAAGTGATCAAACATCAAATAAAGAGTGAACAGCAAGCAAGACAACTGAAACAAAGGCAAAAACAGAGCAATTTCGAATTCAACTAAAAACAGAGAAAAGATGGGACTTGAGATGAGATAATTGGTGCTAGGGGACTCTTACCTCAACCTATGATGCTTACAAACTCACACAATGCTACTCCTTATGCATAGAATTCATTTATAAGACTAATCCAATCTCTTAGCACTAATCTCTTTGCTAATCATCAAGTCAATAATTAATTCTCATTAGCGAAATGACAAACATCAAGCATTAAGACAATTCTATCAATCCTAAAATGCCAATCACTCCCTAGACAGTCAATCTCTTGAGCTAGGATAAACAATTCTCTTGCAAAGCAGTTCAGAAATTTTATTAAACACTTGGTGGGCATAAAATGAGCCTAAGATCCTAATCAACTTAGCTAAGGCTAATCAGGAATCAAACACAACAATCAGGAAAGGAAATGAAAGAATTAACACTAAGACAACATAGATTAAGCCTAAAGTTCCCTAAACCTAACCCATCTTAATTCTCTAAAAAGACTACTCTCTAATCACCATCAAAACCATCAATTCAAAGAGAAAGAGATAGCTAATCATGATTAGAAAAGTAATTAAAGAAGATAAATGCAA